TTGCATCCATACAATTACTAATCACAGCCCTCGATAAAAAATCAATTCATTAAATATAAATGAAATGTCTATTGTATCCCTGTGCTACTGTGCTACGCTAACTTAATTTCATACCGAATACTAATGCTTCCTCTTGTTCTCCTAGCATCACCTTTCGCTTATCAACCCTGCAACTTCAATATCTCAAACGTTTGTTGAGAAGCACAAGAAGGACTACTGGTTTGGACCTCGTCATCTTCAAGACGGGCCCCGATATGCATTTTCGTAAAAACGGAAACCGGAGACAGCAACTTAACCAGCACCGGTTATCAGCTTAACCGGCACCGATTATCTTTATTTTTGGCTGGACCGGCTACACAGTAGCTTAACCGGCGCCGGTTCGCGCCATTTAGCCTTCTATCCCGGGTCAACGGCTCGTTGACCCCCGATACGTGCTATGTTCGGTCTGAAACCTATACACAATATGTATTAAGTCTAAAACAATCAATAAATGTCATTTTGGCCATTCAAAACATTACATATGTTTTTATATGCATTTTTATTACATTACATGCACAATATACCATTTTAGTTCACATAAACCTAGTCACCTTGTCTAAACATATGTTTAAACTCTTTTAAACATCTTTATGAATAATTATAACATGTCCTTAGGTAAACTCATACTTAACCCAAGAGTTACAAGACATTAAGCCGTCCACTCACATCGAATGAGCTTTAAGAAGTTATACCCTTCTCGGTTGAACTCCGGCGAAACTCCGGCGGACTTTGATGAACTCCGGCGACAACTCCGGTGACTCTTTCAACTTCGTGAAAGTACTAGGAACACCTTAGATAAGTTCCTAACAAGGTTTTATCATCACAAAACCCATATCAATACAAATAACCTCTAAAAGGTTATTTTCTGGCAAACCGGTCACTTTGGTTTCTAAGTCCGTTCTTGGACTTAGAACCACCTTCCAACCCCTCATTCTACATTTCTAAGCATGTAGAATAATCTTAGGGTTTATCCATATGATGTACAAGTTATATGATGTTAAATAGAAGAGAGAAGAGTCATGATAGGATCCTTACCTACTTTTCATGCTTTATTCCTAAATACACCCACTTAATTTCCTCCTTGAACTCCATCTGACTTGAACTTGCTTCAACAATGGAGGATATGAGCTTTGGGAGCCTATCTCTCTTGCTAGCTTGGGTTGGCCGAAAATAATAGGGGGTGGGAGTGAGAAGACCCACCTTTGTCTCAATAGGCAAATGAGTGAAGGGGGAGACCCACCTTAGGTTACCTCTCACCTAACCTTCACTCTCAACCCATGTCAACCACTCATTCCCTATTGTGCAGCCCCTAAAGTCCACTTTGAGCTCTCAAAAACGTGGGGTGGCCCCCACTCATGTTGGAGGGCATCCCAATATGTCCCGAACGGTACAATTGGTCATGAAAGTTGTATTTCTCGGATTGTTTTAATTATATGATATTTTATGGGGTCAAATAAAATATATTACATATTCCCAATCGCCATGAGACTTTAGAATGGTTTTACATTCCCCAACTTTAATTTAGAAGTCCCCGAAATTCATTTCGGCCTGTTAACAAATCGATTACCAAATACCAGTAATTGGGCCTTGTTTGACCAACCGGTCAAGACCAAGATGAATATGATATGTGGTCCCCAGGAATATCGGGTGGTCCTCGTTCCCGATGTGCCCCCCACGTGCAATTTACTATTCACACAATAGAAATAACAAAATTTACAACCTCATAAATTCATTAACAATTTCATAAGGTTCAGTACATTATTTACATAAAAGTAAATACACTTGGAGATGGTGTTACATACCACACTCGAGGTGCCTGTTTTAAACCATAAATAGATTTGCGTAGATGACATATTTTCCGAGAACCATCATTGGATCCAGGAGGTTGTTTCATGTAAACTTTCTCTTGGAGATTCCCATGAAGAAATGCATTGTTGACATATAGTTGATTGAATGGCCATCCATGGGAAAGGGCAATGGTTAGAACAACCTGGATAGTGACCGGTTTCATAACATGGCTAAAAGTGTCAAAATAATCAACTTTCGGGTGCTGATGAAAACCCTTAGCCACCAATCGAGTTTTGAAACGATCCAGAGAACCATTTGGCTTGTATTTCACCGTATATACCCATTTGCAACCAACAACATTATCATCAGGGTGAGCGGGGACAAGTTCCCAAGTTCCTTGTTGAACCAAGGCATCAAATTCTACACACATAACCTCTTGCCTCTTGGGTACCTGTAAAGGCTTAGAAGCACAAGTAGGAATAATATGATGAGGTAAAAGCAATTGAGTGACAACATGGGCTTGTTTGCGAGGGCGAAGGGTCATTGAATGAGTGTGTTTGGGTGGAGAGGGATTTAGATCATGATGTTGACGTGAGGAGGATATGGGAGCATCAGTAGTGGTGGTTGAGGAAGTAGCAGTAGGTTCATTAGGGGATGGTGGAGGAGGGGAAGGAACATGTGGCTTTTGTTTTGGTCGACGGTAATATGTGATGAGGGACAGTGGGTTGGGCGTGAGTGGTGTGGTAGTACTGGGAGATTCTTGTTGAGCTGGGATATGACTTACCGGGGACGTCTCTGCTACCGGTGTACCTGAAATTGGAAGGTAAGAAATGGGTGGTTGAATCCAGTTATCAATATCAGTGGATAGATTTGTAATTGTCGTCAACGTGTTAGAGAAAGGAAAGTCAGACTCATCGAATACAACATGCCTACCAATAATGATACGATTGGTAGTTAGATCAAGACAATGGTAAGCACTGTGTTGATCACAATACCCAAGGAAAATACAAGATGTAGATCGAGGTTCTAACTTATGAGTTGTGTAATGATGCAACCATGGAAAACATTGGCTCCCAAAATAGCAAGTTTTGTATAATTAGGAGGTTTTTGAAAGAGTTTTTCATATGGGGTACAAAACCCTAAAGATGTTGTTGATTGTCTATTAATGAGGTATATACAACAATAAGAAAGGCGTAGGACCAGTATTAAAGTGGCATGGAAGAGTGGTGAAGTAAAGTAATTCCTATTTCTACGATATGACGATGTCGGCGTTCAACAAACCTATTATGTTCAGGGGTATATGGAGGTGTCGGTAAGTGAGAAATACCACATGAGCCAAGAAATTTCCCTAGAGTCACATATTCACCTCCCCCGTGAGAATAAACCATTTTAATAGTTCTTTGAATTTTTTTCCCACAAGTTTCTTAAATTGTTGAAAAATGACTTATGGGTGATGGTGTAGAATCAAATATATTTGGTATAGTGGTCAACAAAAATAACATAGTACCGAAATCTATCAACATAACTAATGTGAGAAAGACCCCAAACAGCTGTATAGATTAAGTCAAGGGAGGCAGAACTTGATAGGGAAGATTTATCAAAGCGCAATTTATAACTTTTATTACTCGCACATGAAGTGCAAAGGGAAACATCCTTGTCAATATCTTTAAAAGAAATACCTAGTGAGGAAAATATCTTTGAGTAATAGGAAGGGCAAGATGACCTAGACGACATTGCCATTTATTAAGAGAAACTTTTGTAGTAACATTGACACATGAAGATGATGGAACTGGTACATCTGGTAAGCCGTAGACGTCACCTTTATTCATACCTCATAACAAAGTTGCCCCCGTTTTGCGGTCCTTAACAAGACAAAAAGAAGGGTGAAACTCAATTAGTACATTATTTTCACGACACAATTTGGCAACATAAATTATATTAGTATGAATAAAGGGAACACAAAGAGTATTAGGTAAGGACAGAGAGTGAAGGTTCATGTTTACCGTTACCTTTTTTGAGAGTATGTGCTGGTATAATCTGACGCCAGGGTGAGATTATTTAGATTATTGGTGACAATGTTTGTGACTCCATAATCCAGTGACATGATTAGTGGCGATATAATCTGTCACCGTGACATGATTAGTGGCTCCATAATCCAGTATCCATCCATTTTTACTTGTCACGACAGTATTGACTTGAGGGGGGTAATTTTGTTGTTCAAATCAGTGCCAACAATTAATAACCAGATGGTTTGGTTTGTCACAAATTTGACATATTATTATAGCACTAGGATTAAAATTAATTACCCTTGGAATTGGTAGTTCCTCCGAAATAATTATTTCCAAGTCGATTTGAATTATAGAGGTTGTTGGGTCGTCGATTCCGGTTCTGGTTCCTTGTATAGTTCATGTTATGGGCATTGGACCTATTAGGCAGAATCTAGGATTGATTTAAGGCAATTCTAATTGCAGCCATACAATTACTAATTACAACCCCCGATAAAAAAATAATTCATTAAATATAAATAGATTGTCTATTGTATCCCTGTGCTAGTGTGATACGCTAACTTAATTTCATATCGAATACTAACGTTTCCTCTTTTTCTCCTAGCATCACCTTTCGCTTATCAAACGTGCAACTTCAATATCTCAAACGTTTGTTGAGAAACACAAGAATGACTACTACTTTCCACCTCCTCAGCGAGATTGAGCATTGTTTAAGGAGTTGTTTGCCGGCCATTGAAGATATTCATATATGGAGCACACAATCGAATAACTTCCGTGACTTGTTTCATATATGGGTAAATTTGTAAAATAATTTAATTCGTTTAAAACGGGTTTATTAAGGTGTATGCATTCAGAAGCAGAAGTTGAAATGTTTGGTGAAAGTGTAGAAGTAATTCTCATGCTTTAATTTACTCAGATTTTTAGAAGCTGGGGGAGACCAACTCTTAAAAACTGACTTTTTTTGATTCTATTTAATTAATGCATTGTAAATGAAATTGGAACAATAGCTTTAAAACTCCAAATTATCTTTTCAACAAGATATAATACGTTCTAAACGGAAGAACACACGACATTTTTCTTTAAAAAAGAAGTAGAAGTTTGTTCCTAATTTCCAAACACCCCTTAATAAAATTACCTTTAGTTTACCGTTTACTGGGGTGGGCCTAATATGGAGCGGTCCATAGAACTCTAGGTATTACCATCCAGAAGTCATACGAGAGGCCAGAACAACCCCATCACCTTCCTTCTTCTCTTCTGTAATCGCCCTGTTTACAGTGACAACCGAAGGCGATTTCAAGAACTCTTTCGGACGGAGTTTATCTTCAAAGCGGACAAGCAGAGTGTGAAGTTCTTTGAAGTCAATATCTTTGATCGTATTGATAGAATCGGAAATTGATTCAAACTCTGGACGAAGACCCTTCAAGGCGTGATTGGTGAAGTTTTCGTCGTCCACCGGTCGTCCGGCCATGGAGAGTTCATTTGCGAGAGTCCGAAGGTGGTGAAGATATTCTCCTATAGACTGAGACCCTTGCTGATCATGACGGAATTGGTCTTTTAATCCCCGAACATTGGTGGCTGACCGGGTCCCATAAAGACGCTCCAGCGTTTTCCAGACAGAGGCGGACGTTCGTGCAGAACCAATTAAAGGTTTGCAAGCTGGACTGAGAGAAGATACGAGGGCATGGCGGAACAGACGATCCTTCCATCGGAGATGGCGAGCTGCGTCGCTTTCTGGAGGAGGAGACACCTTTTCATCGATGTAGCAGTCCAGTTGGGAACCAAATAGGAGGTCCATCACCTGGTCTCTCCATACCAGGTAGTTTAACCCATCTAATTTTTCTGGAAACTGACTAGGGTTAAGCATAATAAGTCCTTTGGGTGATAGGGTGTTGTTGGTTGTGGTAGGATGGGGATTGAGATGATTTTCGAGGTCTCCATGTCCCTGGAGATCCTCTGTTCGTCTGGCTTCCTGTTCATCGCCAGACATGACTGGCTTGGCTGGCGAGAGCTCTTGTGGCTCTGATACCATAAAGAGATTTAGAAGGGATAGAATGTTTAGGCTGAATTCCATACTTCATTCCATAATATGTTGTGGTATATATACATGGATGTAAAAAGTGTATAAGGTAAGCTACTATATACAATATTAACTATAAAGATTTGTAACTGAAAACAATAAATAATTGTAATTGAAATCCTAGAATCTGGATTCTTCTGCAAAAACAAGGATATACATGGCCCATGCTTTACTCCTTTTGTAGTAACTACTTTTGATGGCTCCTATTTTGATACCTCTTTTTGGATACAAGGATGTTTGACTCAATATTACCTGTGCATTTGTCTACCAGATTTCATTCATGAGATTTCTTGTTAACCAGCGGGGCATGAATTATTCTTGATGTATAGTAGTGAAACTTCCAGTCTGGAATTATGGAAGTGCTTTCTACATATTGCCCACAAGAGGAGGCAGAAACAAGTCGTTTGCATGTTGAAGAACAAAATCATCTGAAATTTCTAGAACAAGACCAAACTGCAGATTTTGATGATATGAAAAGACAAGATGGAGTACAATGGACCATTGAGGATATGACAACTTCTGAAACACATTTTTCTGGGGAAGCATGTAATGAAAATGAAGAGGGTGGCACAAAGTTGCCATCTGATTCCCATGAGTCTGAGGATGAAAACATTGAAATCTCTCAACCGTTTGTTAATGAAACTGAAAGTGAGCAAGTTAATGAGAACCAGGAGGGAGAAACCTTTCCATGTGAAACCCCTTTGCTAGAAAGAGATGAAGCTCTAGCAGTATGGGTAAAGGTAAAATTACTTTTTGTTCATTATATTTGTGTATTTCTTTCACAACATTTAGGCTAGTTTGGTTGGGGGTTTTTAGAAGGGAGGGGTTGGTTGGTTTATGTTTGACTAATCTATCTCTATTTGTTCGTCTTGACCAGAAAAAATTACAGAGTATAGTTAGAGCTAGTTAAATCTTGTAGTTTTATATAATTTTGGAAAAAGGGTCAAATACACCCGTCTACTATTCTGAAAAAATCATCTAGGCCCCCATACCAAAAAAACATCATATGAATGCATTTACTTGTAAAAAAACATCAAATGAACCAAATGACCGGAGAAGTACCGCCTATGGCAAGTTATGACATTGTACACACCGTACAGTAGTTTCATTCTCTTTCTTTTATTTACTCCTAGCATGACGTCATCCGCTTGTTTGTTTTTACTTTCTTTCTCAATCGTGGCCTGCTCCTTGGCTGCACTCATTTGTTCTTTTCTTCCTTCATCCGATTATTCTTAAATGATTTGTAGTTTAGTTTTTCTTATTCCTCTTTTCCCTTATTTCCTTTTTTGTTGTCTTCTCTCAACAAATATTTTTAGACATTTCCTTCTAATTATTTCAATAAATTATCTATCGTCTTTGATTAATAAATAATGTTCATTCTTGAAAAAAGTAAATTAGCCAATTTTTATTTATTTGTGCCGGATATTAATTGTCTAACACAGACTTTTATTTGTCTGTATGAGACAGTTATTGGTCATATTGAAATGTAGTTCTTACCATTAAAACTGAATTAACATTATTGCGTATTTGTAACTTTGGTGCGGTTAAAGTTGTAACTTTAAGACACTTAAAAAATTATACACTTTTTGTACACATTATAAAAATCTTTCGCACATACAATGTTCTACTCTAAAAGGTTAGACCATATGCAAAAATGCCGGTCGTAAAATTCAACTTTTATAGACAATAAATAAGTTTGATGCAGACAAAATGTTAGATACTCTGTAGTAGTTAAAAACATTATATGATTTTTATTCACATTCTCAACGAAAACCGTATCGATAATTTTTGTAGATAAGGCCATGCATCACAAATATTAGAGAAGTTCACTTTTATAGACAAAAAATCTAGCATACTCAAAAATGATCCAGACACAGTAAAAATCTGTCTACTTTTTGTGCCACAAATTTATTGTTTGGAAAAGTAGATTTTTCGGACTGGTATTTTTTTCTTTGCCCAAAATTTAAAAACAAAAATTATTGGTACAAAGGAGTTTGAAAATGTGTGCGAAAAATATACTACCTCCGTCCCAAATGATTAGTCATATTGACTTTTCTTGGTCAATGATGACAAACTTTGGACAATGATTTTAATTTTTACGTTTGTTTATAATTTATAAATTTTATAGATTTATGGAAATATTTTTAATAAGGAACATTTTAATATACTTTCCTATTAAAATTAAATTCATATTAAAAGTATTATTGGGTTATTGGTCAAAGTTGATTATTAGGATGTTTTTACTTGGACTGTAATTTGCGCTGGTCTGATCTGGTCTGGTCTGATTTCTTTGTATTTTTATAACTATCCAAGTCTGGTCTGAACTGATCTGGTCTTGTTTGGTCTGGGACGAATTATAGTCCAAGTAAAAACATCCTTAGTAACCAAGAAAAGTCAATTTGGCAAACCTTTTCGGGACGTAGAGAGTACAACTTTTACCCTGTTTGAAACATTTTTATATGTTTGTGACACTTATTTTATGTAAATTAAGTTACATAAAATCGAGACAACTTTTCGGGACGGAGAGGTCTCCAATCGATATTTTTTTGTCTGTGATCTAACTTTAAAAAAATATCTTTCTGTACGAAGATTTTTGAGAATGTGTACGAAAGTTACACATTTTTTTCGACATCGTATTAAACTTTTATTTGTCCATGCCTGACATTTATTGTCTAATTTTTTTTATTTGTAATTCACAGTTTTATCTGTTACCTTATTTTACTGGAAAAGGTATTAGTGTAAAAATGTTGGAAATGTGTGCAAAAAATATACAATTGGATTGTTGAAGGGACACATATAGTAGGCGAAAGGGAAGCAAAACATGTTTTAAATTGGATTAAACATTTTTTGTGCTATTTGTTTAAGTCTTGTCTAATTTGGTTGAGTAAACATATTATTTGTGTAATTTATTATTTTTATTAAAGTCTGATCTGATCTGGTATGATCTATTAAGTCTATTATCATCTGATTTGATACTGAAAAACAAATAAATTACATTATTCCAAAAACGAAGGAAGAAGAAAAAATATAAATAAGAAAAAAGAACTAAAAGGAAAGTAAAAAGAAAAGACAACATGCAAATAAGGAACAAAATGGAGATAAAAAATAAAAATTCACTTAAGCATGTTTTTGAGGGTCAATGCACGTAAGCATTTAGGAAACACAAAAGGAAAGGAAGAATGAAAATAACAAATAAAGAAAAAGAAATTAAAGTGAGGGCTGGGAAACAAGAAAAGAGCCGCTAGAATAGCTTGGGTACTGGGTAGTAAAAGAAAAGCAAAAAAAAAATAACAAAATGTGAATGACCTGCAATTATAAGTTGGTATTAGGTCACTTGACCCAATTGATGGATTTTTTATAGTACATGTATTTGGATGATACTTTTTTTAGTAGAAGGGTTTAGATGATGTTTTTGCAATAGTAAATGGGCTTATTTGACCCTTTTTCCTATATTTTTTCATCAACACTATCTTTCCATGTTCCAACCATCTAAATGTAATAATACATTTACAAATTAAATATCACTCCACACATTCCCATCCCTCTGAAATCCCGCAACCAAAAGGGGCTTAAGAATTGTGTGAAAACAGTCTGGAAGCTGTACTTTATTATTCTACTATACATTTTAATTTCTGCGTCTTAGATATCTGCGAGGAAATTTTAATTTTCACAAGTATTAATTGTGAATTCACACGAATGTGCACATTTCCTTTTGCCCCTTAAGGGTCTGTATGGATGTAGCATTTTCAGAGTTTTGGAGGGGGCAAGATCTGGAGGACTTGGTCTGTATCTTGATATATACTCCACCAGTCCCCTATTTTGTCTTCCTTGTTTGGCTCTGCGCGGAGTTCAACAAATTAAAATTATGTAGATGATATTTATTTAGAAATGTAAGAATCTATATGACCACAAGTTTCTTTCCAAAGAAAATGAGAAGATTGTACATTGACAACCAAAAAGAAATGAGGGAAGACAAAAAGAGGACAATGGGAAGATAATGTTTCTAGAAATGAATAAAGGGTGATTGAAATGTTACATCATCAGCTATTATGTTATCCTTCTGTATAAAATCATAACTATATTTCAAGATATCTACTTCACAATCCAAAACCCCTCCCCATCCAAACTCCCCTCCCCATCCAAACTCCCCCGAACTGCATTTGATTTACTAATTCTTGTGCATATCTTTTTCTGAATAGTGGAGGGGTAAGTGGCAAGCAGGAATAAAATGTGCCAGAGCTGACTGGCCATTGTCAACTATGAGAGCAAAACCAACCCATGACAGGAAAAAGTATCTTGTGATTTTCTTTCCTCGTACTCGCAACTTCTCATGGGCTGATGTACTTCTGGTTTGCCCAATTAATCACTTTCCACAACCCATTGCATATAAGACACATAACATTGGGGTTGAGATGGTCACAGATCTCACTCTTCCTCATCGTTTCGTCATGCAAAAGATTGCTGTTGGCATTCTGAATATCTTTGATCAATTACACAGAGAGGTTTTTGCTTTATCCCTATAAAAGCTGATGTTATTCTTATTGATACTCATACATTCAATGCCTTTCTGTTTCTTCCCTTTTTTGGTTTAGGTGGTGATGTTTTCTCTACTAATACAGGTTCTTGTTGAAACCTCTCGCTATATAGTAGTCTGGAAGGAATTCACATTGGAGGCTTCCCGGTGTAAAGACTATCCTGATATTGGAAGGATGCTTTTGAAAATTCAAGAGGTAAAATCTCCTTATATATGAACAATTGAACATAGGGAAATATACATGAGTTTTTTCTTTCCAATTTCTCTACTGCCTTCTCACTTATCTTAAAAAAGGATTTAGTTAACTTCCCTTTCTTCTCTTGAAAAATATTCCAAATTACTATAACAATGAAATAAACCTGATGCCAACAATTAAATGGCTGCATTTGGTTAAATTTATTAGCTTTTCTGATGTAGTAATATTTTTGCTTCCTTAAAAGTTCCATTTCCCTAAACACTAATTCCCTTCCTTTGCAGATCATACTTCCTCAATACAAAAGTCCGCTGTGGCGGGAAAACTTGCTTCAGTCTTGGGTTCAGCGTTGTCAGAATGCAAACAGCGCAGAAGCTGCTGAAATGCTCAAGGAGGTATTTTCTCATTTCTTTACTATGTAATAACTGAAATTGGAATAACTTTACCAATGTGATAGAATTTGGAGTTAGGTTGTCATCACTCAACTGGGTCATAAGGCACTTGGGCCAAGCCCAGCTAAAAGATCGAGTTCAATCTTTTTAACTTTTTCAACCCAAAGTCTTATCAACTCATCATTTTCTTTAATTCCCGATGTGGCATCTTATTTGCTCACACACTTTAAATAGATCCGGTTGGTCACTTGCACTGTTCTAAAAATCGGCCTAGCCGGACTGATTAATCAGGCTAGGCGACCTAGTCGGCAAAAAAACCGGCCTAGTCGGCCAAAAAATCAGCCTAAGCACTTGGGCCAAACCACACTGATCGAATCCAATCTTTTAGCTAGTTCAATGCAAAATCTTATTATCCAATCCTATTCATACATTCTTTAATTTTCCAATGTGGGGTCTTGACAACATGATTATTTCTTTTCTAGGAAATGGTTGATTCCATTCTCTGGAATGACATAGGTTCACTCCCAAGTGATCTTGCACAAGTTGAACTCAGCCTTGAATGGAAGAACTGCAAACAAGAGGCTATGAAATGGTTTTCAGTATCAAATCCTTTACCAACCACCTGTGGAGACCCCCAAAAACCGACAACAGATGGAAGCAGCCCACTGGAGGACGTGGGTCTTCAGCACTGCAAGAAAAGGGCCAAACTTGAAGTCAGGCGGCCCGATACACATCCCTTTCAGCCGGTGGGCCATGAAGTATCTCTAATCGTTGCTGGTTCTGGTATCTTTGGTGGCTCTGATGCTCCTGTGGATAACGCGTTGCTAAATTCTGAGCATACTAAAGCTGAGAGTAATGGATGGGGTGATGTTATTGTTGAAGCATCAAATTCTGAAGTGACACCTATCACTAAGAATCGCCAATGCATAGCCTTCATAGAGGCAAAGGGGAGGCAATGTGTGAGATGGGCAAATGATGGTGATGTCTATTGTTGTGTTCATTTGGTTTCCCGTTTTTCAAGCACCACCTCTTCAAAGACCGAGTCAACAACACCTCTTGAGGTGGGAGTGTGTGAAGGCACGACTGTTCTTGGAACTAATTGCAAGCACCGTTCCCTCCTGGGTTCCTCTTTTTGCAAGAAGCATAGGCCCAAGGGTGGTGATATTACAAAAGTGCCCTTTCCCTCCCCCGCGACCCAACCTAAGAAGAGAAAACATGAAGAAGTCCTCGACGTGGACCCCATCTCAGTCATAGGTGGAAACAACAGCTTGGTCCCAATGTCAGACTATCATCAGCATAAAGAGTATAGCAACGAGGCAGATGAGCCACTGATGTGTGTAGGATTGTGGGCCCAAGATGGTGGCGGAGAGACTTGTTCGGAATCTGCGAAGCGGCATTCACTGTACTGTGAGAAGCACCTGCCAAGCTGGCTTAAGCGTGCAAGGGACGGTAAGAGTAGGATAATCTCAAAGGAAGTGTTTGTTCAGCTTCTCAGGAGTTGTGGCAAGTCGAGGGAGCAAAAGCTGCATTTGCATCAAGCTTGTGAGCTGTTCTACCGGCTATTCAAAACCCTTCTTTCCAGGAGAAATTCTGTCCCGAAAGAAGCCCAGTTTCAGTGGGCCATTGCAGAAGCTTCTAAAGATGTGTGGATCAGGGAGTTCTTACTGAAATTGGTTTTTGGCGAGAAAGAGAGGCTCAAAAGGCATTGGGGATTCAGCTTTAATGAATCAGGAGCAGCTACCAATCATGGGGATGATGATGAGAATGTTATTAGCTGCAAAATTTGCTCTGACACATTTATGGATGACCAAGAACTTGGGAGGCATTGGATTGATAAACATAACAAGGAGGCTGAATGGATGTTCAGGGGTTATGTTTGTGCAATATGCCTTGATTCTTTCACTGACAAGAAGGTTCTCGAATCTCATGTGCAGGAGAGGCACCACGTGGAGTTTGTGGAACAGTGTGTGCTTTTTCAATGCATATCCTGTAGCAGCCATTTTGGTAACCAAGATCAATTATGGTCTCATGTGCTTTCTGTTCATCCTTCCAACTTCCGACTATCAAATCCTCCTCCACATCTTCAACCTCAACCTGGTAGTCTTTCTGGTAGTGAAGATTTCTTGCCTAATGTAGAAAGCATCAACTCTGAGGACAAAAAATTCATATGCAAGTTTTGTGGGATGAAGTTTGATTTGCTTCCCGATCTTGGCCGACATCATCAAGCCGCTCATATGGGTCATAGTCTTGTTAGTTCCCGTCTCTCAAAGAGAGGCATCCGTTTTTATGCTTATAAACTGAAATCAGGACGGCTCACCCGCCCGAAATTCAAGAAAAGTCTGGCTTCCGTAGCTTCATACCGGATCAGGAGCAGAAGTGCACAGAACATTAAAAAACGTATACAGTCAGCAATTTCAGTTGGTGCTGGGGCCCGTTTGAGTGGATCCCCCGAGGCCTCTTCCAGTCTTGACAGCTTCGGTCATGAACAATGCTTAGCTATTGCAAAGATGTTGTTTACTCAGACGAAGAAGACGAAGCCACGCCCTAATAACTCGGATATTTTATCGCTAGCTCGGTCAGTTTGCTGCAAAGTAAGACTTAAAGATTCATTGGAGGCAAGCTATGGAGTCTTGATGCCAGAACGCATATATTTAAAGGCAGCCAAACTCTGCAGTGAGCAAAATGTCTTAGTAAGTTGGCATTTGGATGGATTTATTTGCCCAAACGGATGTGGGCCGTTGAATGATCATCCACATTGTATTCCACCTTTGGTTCCTCTACTCAGTAGGCCTAGATTTGCAACACACAGTGCTGCTAATGCAAGTGAGTGGAGATCGGACGAGTCTCACTTTGTTATTGATTGCCAACAGATAAGGCACGAGCCATCTGATAGGACAATAATCTTGTGTGATGACATTAGTTTTGGGCGGGAATCGGTTCCCATAACATGTGTGGTTGAAGACAACTTTCTCGGGTCCCTCCACATCGCTCCGGATGATTCTGATGGCCAGATAGCACTACCTTGGGAGAGCTTTAGTTACGTGACTAAGCCAATTATAGATCAATCAATGCAACTTGATATCTATGTAAGTTTGTCATCTTTTACTTTATATAACATTTTTGCCCGTGTTCTCTCCCTCACTTTTTTCCTTTCTAAGCAGAGTTCACAGTTAGGGTGCTCTTGTCCTAATTTGACATGCTCTTCTCAAACCTGTGATCATGTGTACCTTTTTGAGAATGACTATGAAGATGCAAGAGACATTCATGGCCAGCCAATGTGTGGTAGGTTCCCATATGATGACAGAGGGAGAATCATTTTAGAGGTAAATGTTATGTTTATCGTCTAATAATATGCAGCCAATGTTTTTTTTTATTTACCATCAAGAATAGAAAATTAATGTTATTCAGTTTTTTTAGTATTTTATATGGGAATTTTCCCGAAATAAGAGTATAAATGTTTAGGAATTCCAAAATAGGACTGTTATGTTTTTCTACCCGAAATAGGAGTAACATGGCAATAGTTACTACTATCTTGGAGTCATTACTGTCAAATTAGCTAGACAAGCATGACAATATTTATTCCCATTAATGGCAATATTTTTCAATCATGGCAGTAACGACTCTTATTTCGGGAATAAAAACACAGCAATCCTTTTTTGGAATTGCGGAACGTTTCTACTCTTATTTAGAGCAATTTCCCATTTTATATTTGTGAGTGCTGATCCTCATTCAATCTTCTTTATATAAAAAATATCGATAAGTTGAATTCTTGATCTATCTTTTAATATTGAGTTGCTTGTTACTCCGTATGATATATAGTTCTGCAATATTTACCTTAGGCCTTAGGGTAAGCTTGAATCACAAAATATTCTAGAGAAAGTAATAATAATGCTAAGAAAATTTCTTTTCGTATTGATTAGATTTAGTTTTGAAAATGCAAAGGGAATAAAAATGATTATTCTTCTAAGTTGTGTCATACATATATTTATATTCGTTAGCCTTTTTGTAATAATTTTTCATCATTTGCAATGGAGCAAAAGACTCGCTCTGTTTTGGCTTGTGGATATGATGGAATAAAGCAAAACGACTCAATAAACTGTCTGTGCTTTTTTGCTATGAAGCAGCAGTTAGTGCATGCAATTTTCGATGCGAATTTCACTATGGGTCATCCGGAAATAGTCTCTTTGTTTTATAGTAGGGTAAGATTGTGTACATCCGACCCCCTTACCCCACTGTAGGTGGGAGCCTTTGCGGCACTGGGGTAATGATGATGATGAATGATGATGAGGTTTTTTATAATAAAATGAAAAAGTGTGGCGTAAATAAAATTATTAAACAAATATCTAAATTTAATTTATTGGGTCCGGATCCATTTTTTATTGTCCTCTAAATTTGGTCTCCTTCGCCTTTTCTATCTCTCTTTACCTCAATATTTTCTTTCTCAAGTATTTTCCAGGCTCCATATTTACACTTGGTGCATCAAAATAATTTGGAAATTTTCTTAAGATAACCTTGAGGTCTGTGCTATATCTCAAATTGAACTCAGGGATTTCACTGGGTGACCTATGGAAATTTGATAGGAATCAGGTCAAGTCTATTCTAGCGAAATAAATAGACTAGTTAGTTAATACTCCCTTCGTCCCCCTGTTATTGTCCCATTGCGGTTTACGATGTTTGACCGACGATAAAGCAAACAGATCCCTGTCCGCACTCAAATTATTTTTAGGAAAAAAAAATTACATATTCAGAAACTACATTAAAAGATTTACAAAGTCGCAAAAACCAGAATCAAATTTGATAAAAATTTGATACATAAAGTAAGAGATTAAGAGTGATTTGTGTTGACCAAGTGAATAGGAAATGGGACAATAATAGGGGGACGGAGGGAGTAGTTGTTTTCGGTTATTAGCTATTAATTACTTTCGGTTGAGCTAGGAGGCTATAAATAGAATAAGTTTGGGAGAGGTCAAGAAGGCTGTTTTTAGACATTTTGTCTTGGACTGGGAAGTTGGAGTTTTATCTCCTTTGGGATATGGTGTACGGTTTACCTCCATTTAATGAAATTTCAGTTTCCTTTCTCTTTTGTTCTTAATTTCTGTGATTAATTCTGGAATTGCGAAGTTCTTATCAAAATTTCATAGAATATGTTGGCATATCTTAAGTTATTCTAAGAAACATGCATAGTGGAGGGCTATTTTAACAAATGTTAAAAAATAAAAATGTTAGGGTTACCTCAGGAAAATTTGTAGTCAGTTATGTTCTTGGCTTTTCTTGATGGCGTTATTAGTTTCATTTTGTTACGTTACCTATGAATTCATCACACACAACCTAACTTCCAATATGATGGTTTCCAGGAGGGATATGTAGTCTATGAGTGCAACCAGCGGTGTAGCTGTGGTAAATCTTGTCAAAACAGAGTGTTGCAGAATGGCGTTCAAGTGAAGCTTGAGATATTCAAAACTGAGACAAAGGTAACATTTTCCCTTTTCGTTTGAAATTCTCAATGTAACCCCAATTCTTTACGTTTTCTTTATTTTCCCGTTTCTATCACATTTTGTGAATAGGGGTGGGCTGTCAGGGCCAGAGAAGCAATCATTCGTGGTACTTTTGTGTGTGAGTTCATCGGTGAGGTAATTGATGAAGAGGAGGCTAATAGGAGGCGCTGTAGGTCTGTATGCTGCTTTTCAATCTGCTGTTTTCCTTTCCCTTTCTTTTTAAAGATAGTTTGCTAATTCTATTAGCCACTTAATTTTTATGCTTACTTTTATGTGACATAATTAGGTATGGGAAAGAAGGTTGTGCATATTTTTTGGATATTGATGCACAAATAAATGATATGAGCAGACTGGTTGAGGGGAAATCTCCGTATGTGATTGATGCCACAAATTATGGTAACATTTCTCGTTATATCAATCATAGGTGAGAAGGCTTTCCCCTCCTACAATTGGCTACTCAATTTGGCTCCTGTCTGGTTTATCTGAATATATATCTTGACTTATTTGTTTAGATGAACTGCATCTTACCAAACCCATTTCCTATCATAAAGTTTAGTGGATTCAAACAATTCCAACCAAATAGCCCTTGTCAAAGTCATATTTTAATAGATTTATTGGTTTAACTTGTTTGTGACACTTCTTTTTAATTCATTAAATTGAATGGAATTAACTTTTGTTTAAAAAAGTTTTTTTAGATAAGTTTTCTTTTATTGAGTTAAAAAAACAATGACCAATGGAATTCAATCAGCCGTTTTGTTATTGATCTTTTTACAACATTTACTAAATTCTGATGTTAATTTTTCTTTAGCTTTATGTGTATTTTTTCTCATTATATAGTTACTATAATAATTAATATTATTATAATGTTTGGTGCTTGTAGCTGCTCACCAAATATGGCAAATCACCAAGTGGTTGTGGAGAGCATGGATTATCAACTTGCGCATATTGGCCTTTATGCCGCCAGAGATGTGAGTAT